TTCCCTAAAGAACTCAACCAATAAGGAACTGGGGGTGGGGGCAGGGAAATTCGATTAGGAATGTAAAAGCCAGCCATTTTTGCCTTTTGTCCAGGCTAATGTCTGGCTTCTGCAGAGCCAAAAATAAATGTCTTGTTTTCAGCACTATGAGTCTCCAGTATTCTTATTATGAGTAAGGATCCTTGTTTCTCACTTTAGGTACAGCCAGAGAATGAGTGGACAGAAAGGTACGCAAGCAAAGGTTCCCTCAGGAGCTGTGAGAGCTGTGAGCACCCCTAGTGTACAGACTGTTGGTCTCCGCATACTGTTGCCTGCTAGAAGACCTGGGTTCCTTCAAGGATTATTTCCATCTAATGTGGCCATGCTTGATCTGATTTATAAATTGAGATTATAATACATCGTTAAGTGCATATAACAATAGTTTAGTGGTCACTTTTTCTAACATATTTTTAAAAAATATACTTTTATACTTGAAAAATCTTTTTTATACTTAAAAAAATTATTTCCAGAGACAGGTGAGCTGGTGCACTCATGTAATCCCAGCACTGGACTGGGGAGGCTGAGACAGACTGATCGTATAACCTGGGCTGTGGGTTTAAGGTCAGCCTGGGCTCCAGAGACTCTATAATTAAAAAAACAAAAAAAATTCCAGGTCTGGGAGAGCAAAAGTACAAGATGAGTGTGGAATACAGTGGCGTTCTAGAAGGCAAGAAATGTCAAACCCCATTAGTCTTGTGCGACAAGTAGGCAGCACGAAGGCTCTCCCAGAAGCCACCGATAGAACATTTGAATATCAGAAAAAGTAACCAAGAATTTCTAAGAACAACTTAAAAAACAAAAGTCATGATAGCAATGGAGTTGAACATCACATCTGAAATGCCTACTTACATTTTATGCATTCACAATGGTACAAACTTTATGGGTCACTGTTCATTTTGGAGGTTGGTACGGTACCCACTCAAAATGTAGACTGCTGGTAGATGAAGAGAAAGAATCAAGCACCTATTTTGCTTGTTCTGTTTGACCTATATTCAGAGTAAACCAAAGAGCTGACAAAGGAAAATTTTTCCTGGAGAAGAGTTTCAGCTAATGAATATGGAAGGAAGGATAAACTAAATTCTCACCATCCCGTAGCCCCTAATGAAATAATGGATGCTGGTAATGATTTTCAAAGTCTGCTGAAACCATTAAAGTCAGTGGTTCCCACAACGGAACTACCCAACAAGCTTTATAAAACACGATGTCTGGGTTTCACCCTAAATATTTTAATCTAATTAGTCTAGGGCACACTGAGATTTTTCTTAAAGCTTTCCATGTGACTCCAAGATTGAGAGCTATTATGTGACATGAAAGGCTGATGGAAACTTGATGAAGGAGGAGATGGAGGTTTGGGGAGCTGGCTCATTCCACCACTCCTGGCCCCACTGATGGTTCCAATCCTGAAAGGAAGACAACCAGTCAGCAGGTACTTCCTGATATAACCAGGCCACCCTCCACTGCACAGTGTCACCTACCAGGCTCACTGCCAGCATCCTCTGCATCTATTTCTCTGCGTCCCTAGTTTTCCTTTTATAAAAATGGACATATAAAGGTCTTTGGGTGGGGGGCAAGGCAAAGACGCTAGAACAGTGTGGATTGTTTCTTGACATGAATGTTGTTTGTTTTTTGGGGGGAGGGGGTTCTTTTTGAGACAGGGTCTCTCTGTAGGCCCAGCTGGCCTGGAACTCACTATGTAGACCAGGAGTTAAACTCACAGAGATCCGCCTGCCTCTGCCTCCCAAGTGCTGGGATTAAAGGCTTGTGCCACCAAGCCCCCTAAATGTTTGGTTCTTACAGGAACCTGGACCCAGCTCACTTCAGTCTCCTCTGCCTTCCTTCTGGAGTCAGGTGTGCCGGCTTCCTCTTTGCTGAGGGCACATGCCAAACTCTTGTCAGGTGTGCCGGCTTTCTCTTTGCTGAGGGCACATGCCAAACTCTTCAGCAATCACAGGAGAAGATCTATTTTGCTACTTGTATTCCTTTATGCTTTCTTCATTTAGCAACAAAGAAAACTAAAGTATGAAAAATCCTCCAACAAAATAGAAAGCTGCTCTGTTTCTGACAACAACTCATAACCTTTTCACATATACAAACTATTTCTGTAAAGATGTATCAAACTGGTAAGAGTGGTTTCCTCTGGAGATCCTAGCAGACAGCCTGAGCCGGGGGTGGTTCCGACCTCCATCGATGTAGCGGCTCTGATCTCAGCAGATCACCAGAGAGTACTGAGTTCTGGCCTCCCTCTGGTATAAGGGCGAGAACACAGGGGACTGTCTGAGAGTGCCCAGATCCTGCCTCCACGTGGTGAAGGAAGCCTGAGTGTACCTGACTAGACCCTGGATTGGGCTTCTGTGGGTACTCCTGAATAGC